GTTTATAGAAAGAAAAACAGTTCAACAGAAACCTCAAAATAAATTCTTTAAATTCAAGCTATATATGTTTGCTAATTTTATGAACGTTTTTCTCAATGTACACACTATGCATAACATAAGTAAGATACACTATGATAAGCTTCTATCCTTCTATTTTATAAAGCGCTAACTTTGTGTGTCGGTTTGTGTGTATCTGTATGTGTGTGTGTATGTATGTATGTGTGTCCGTCCGCAAAATGAAGTGAGTGAGAAGGAAGCTCATGGGATAAACAAACCGCTAACAAATCGGGTAGCTTACAGGATTTGCTATTCAAGTGTTTTGCAATGGCATGATTGTGATAGCATCCCCAACGGCTATATAAACACGCACTTAGCACACTTTCGGTCATTCGACAAGGTGATGCTGTGGTAGCCGGCGAGCAGAGGGGAACGAGGGGAGAGTAAGGAGAGGAGGGAGAAGGGAAAGCTTACGCAAGGTAGGGAGGTTCCGGCGCTTGCCGGGGGACCAATCTGGTATTTTATAATACCTCCAACTTTGTGTTGTTGATTTGTATGTGTGTCTCTATGTACAGAAGCGGTCAAAAGTTTGGGAACTTTTTTATTTTTGATCTAGCGTAGTCGATAGAGAATGTTTTCCCGAAATCACATATTATATTAAGAAACAAGTGTAGATTTCGTATAACTTAATTTTCGAAAACTAAACTCCGTGCGTTTAAAAATAAATTTTTTAGAAATGGCGCGTCAAAAGTTTGGAAACTTCCAAATTTCCAAAGCGAATTCGGCAAAATAGCTCTCAAATCTACATGATAAATTAGTTATTTGATGAGTAGCTTTGAAATTTCTATGTTAGCGTCGTTTTTATTGACATGGAGTTGATATAAATAACCAGTTTGGCTCCGCACGCAACCGCGCGCATCACATTGTGGGCTTTAGTGAAACTGGACAACTTGCAAAATTATTAGTACGTCTGATAACATACTATAAGATTTTTCGCCAGATGTGTACGAATTAAAGGCTGTCCAATTTCGCTGAAGATTGTCGCGAAATGCGCGCAGTAGCTGCAAATGAAAATGGTACTTCATACTTCGTAAACATTCTAGCATTGATATCGAGCTCGGATGATTTAGCGGTTTATTGAATTTCCACAATTGAAGAATCGGTGTGTAAGTGAAATATAATCAATCAATCAGCATCTAATCGAGCTATGATGGAAATTGGAAATATAATGGAAATTCGCTATTAGTCCAAGTCCACATAGTTGAGCAGCCCAACTTTCTTAGCTTCTTTAGATGAAAACTAGAATGACCACTATTCAGCAGTTGCTATCCCCGCGACCTCACATTTCAACAGAGCTCAATTTCGCTATTTTGTCCTGGCAGTTGCCGATCACAACCGACTTTCTGTCAACTGCTCCAATCCTCTTGCCTACCTTGATGCTTACAGCGCAGTGATAGTTGCAACGAATTGGAGAGATGACAGTGGATGAGCATTCACGTCTCCCTCTCTTTGTCATTCCCTAGTTATTCTTTATCACTTCGTCATATTGCTCCGCATTCGTGTCCCCGTCCTCAACTATCACCAGCTAACGTGTAGAGTCGACATTCTTTGTCAACCAAACAAGGCTGCAACGAAATCAGCGGTACTCAAAATCCTAACTTCTTTATCAACCGTTATCGCTTGTTATCACTTCTGATCATCCACTATCCGTGTTCCCGTCCCATCCCCTATACCACATGTGAGAGCCAAGGTTCCAATGTAACTGCGAGGGCCGCAACGAAACTGGTGGTATCCACACTTTGACGCCCCTTATCAGTTCTTATCAGTTGCTACCACATTCGTTCACTCAACTTCTTGGTCCCCGCCTCACCCCACATATCATGCATGAGTGCAAACTGTCCACCGTCCGCAAACGGCGAACAAAATGGTGACATCAACATTTCAGCGTCCGTAAACAGTTCCTATCAGTAGTTATCACTTCCGATCCATCATCATGTTTTATGCCCAGCCCCCATCTCTATGGTATAACAGAATTTGGCACCCGGTTCGCTTTAACAATAACCTGAAAACCGATAATAATTTCAAAATTTGATTAGGAAAAATTAAGTGCAGCGGAGAAACATTGTGGTGGACTATTATATTTTGCGCCATTGGCAGAGCGAGTATTTTCAGAAAAAATGAAAATAAAAAATTGTTGCTTCCTCGAACTGGAATTCTGTACTTGATATTCAGAACAGCGTTCATATGCTTAGGCTGCTTTCATAGTTCGCATCGGTGCGGTCGGTGCCGACGTGCGCCGACGGCGCCGACCGCACCGACAGTGTGAAGAGCGTCAACACGCGCTCTGGCGCATGACGCGTGCGCTGGGCGCAGATGGGGCGCTCCGGTCGATAATCTTGGTTTTGGTGTATTTTTTGTATTTTTTCGATGTTTTTTGCACTCACTTCATATGAATAAACAAAATTGCTTACGACCAACACACCCGGTATGGCCACATCCACCCGGAGTTGTGCGACGGGTTCACGACGTCGCTCGCCCGCGGAACAACTGGAAAGTATTAATCAAGACATAAAAGGGGCCTATTCCAGTTAGGGGGGGGGGCATCATGGTGCGGTGACTCCCAAAAAGCTACGGTAACTCTGAGCCAGGGGGAGTGTAGCCAGCCTAGGGGGTGGGGGTGAGGGCAGTCACTTGACATGCGTGAGAAGCTGGAATGTTCGAGTTTACATTAGCTCGCCGAGAAACTGCATCATGATGCCCCCCTAACTGGAATAGACCCATAAAAGGGCGCAATGTGGCTCGGAGGGGGCAGCCGCCGCGCGGGGCGTTGCGGCAACAGGAAATTCGTAAGCCAGGGGGAGTGTAGCCAATTCAGGGGGGGGGGGTGAGGGCAGTCACTTAGCATGCGTGAGAAGCTGAAATGTCCCGTGAAAAGCTGGAATGTTCGAGTTACACTACATCGCTGAGCCGCGCACCGCCGACTTCCCCCCCCCCCTCCCCCCGAGCACGAGGCTTTAGAGCGCCATTAAAAGAATAAGTATGAGGAAACACACGAAACTACTACTGGCTACCCGATACCCGTGCGCCTTGGCGCCATATGGGACGCGGCGCGAAAAAACATCGAAAAGCACAAGAAATACACCAAAACCAATTATCGATCGGAGCGCCCATCTGCGCCCAGCGCACGCGTCATGCGCCAGAGCGCATATTGACGCTCTTCACACTGTCGGTGCGGTCGGCGCCGTCGGCACCGACCGCACCGATGCGAACTATGAAAGCAGCCTAAGGTTGCTTTCTCGTTCGCAAACATCTCACTAGAAACTTTTTCCGAAAGAATCTTCATAATAAAAGTTTCTGGTAATTTGAGTGGAATTATAATTATGCGTCGGCAGTGTATGTTTCATACATCCGAATTATGGTATGCCTGCTTACTTTCCCAAGTGTCACCCTTCCCTCACAGGTTTCCATGGAGCAAGGACAACTCAGCTTTGCTACCTATTCATTTTCTTTTGCAACGCCAGAAGAATCCCAAAATGCATTGACCACGGGGGTGTGCGTCATATGGCGCGATCCCCTTGGCATTGAAGTGCACACGCCGTAACTACCACACCCTCCCGTGGCCGGACAACTCGTCCACGCAACACATTCTATTCTGCTCCTCTTGCGTTGTCATCAGGCCAGCGAAGCAATCCGCTCTTCTCCAAATCCTTGGGACTCAGCGAGATTTTTGAGACAAGAACAGAACGCGAATCCCAATCCAGAGTCTGGAGTTAAGTGATGACGACAATTGTCCACCCAGGCAGGATGGGCACTTCCGGCGCGCGCCTAATACCAAGGTCGAGGCAGGCCAGCGAAGCTACATATCTACTCTTTTTTAAATCCTTGGGACTCAGGGAGATTTCTTAAGACCTAAATTACCAGATCGATCAATGACAGAAGTCGACAATTCGTCCAACCGCAGCCGGAAATGCCCATCCTGCTGCGGTTGGACGAGTTGTCCAACCGCAGCAGGATGGGCATTTCCGGCCTTGTGCGCTCTAATGCCAATGGGATCGCGCCATATGACCGCCTCCCATCAACGGCAAAGTTGAATGTTTCTGTCTCTTATCATCTTATCGTTGGCTCAAGTGTGTCAATGACCCAAACCACTCATTCGGAAGAACGAAAATCAGTTTATTCTCAACTGAATTTCATATGTAATCGACCGAACAATTAAAACAGCTAAAAATGTTATCAACAAGCGAGACATGAAGATAGTGAACGAACAAGGAGGATTAGAGAATCTTTCAAAATCATCTGTCAGAAAGAACATGCATCAGTTAAAGTTTACACAACGGCACAACATCTGATCTTTACACAACAAAACAACACAGATGACCGCTACCCACATCACAATCTTAACAGCAGATCTTCATCGGGGGATTTCTCAGCAAATCGGCCTTACAAGGCTGTCGGAACACAACAAGAAACTATGAACTAAAACGCCTAAACAACTATGTACCAACATTATCATCAGAGTGGAACACCACACGCGAGTACAACGTAATGTGGTGGGCAGAGGGATACTAATCGAACAAATAAAGGGTGTATGCCAAATAGTCATGGCGCGAGTCCGCGCGCGACAGAATTTACGACAATTAGTACTGTTTCCCAATCGCTCAGTTTTCTGCTCCTCTCTCTCATCTATCGCCCAAAATGTGAGCCCACGGCGCAAGTAGAGCAAACTGACGGTTGTAAAGGTGGCGAAACATCACGATTTACGAGAGAACGCAGACGAGGACAGAAATTTGTCGCGAACCGTCGCGTGCGGACTTGCGACGCGCACTTCTGGCACGTACACGCGATCTAACTGTGCAAATTCAAAACAAAACATGGCTACTCTAGAGTGTCTACATATCACCCCTTATACATATCAAATATCATATGGACTCTTCCAAATAATAGTTACCGGTTGAGAATTTATGGCGCAAAGTACAGGCATATTACATGTACAAGAAAGAATTTCAAGGTTTCGGTGTACACGTCGAGTAGCGATTGCCCAGATCCGCCTCGGCATCCGATGCTTCTGAAGCGTCGTTGAAATCAGATTGTGACAACTCGTTATTCAGCATCCGATTCTGCAAAATAAGTCGGAAATGGTAGATATACAGTAAGAAGTAATAATAGTCGGAAATGCGTGTTCAACTGTCGGGCATACGTTCCCCCGTAATTAATTGATATTGGATGAGCCATGCATTTCTTTTCAGTTCAACATTGCAAAGACCTTACAACGCGTATCTTGCACTGTGTGAGAACAAACTGATGTTATGATGTTTTTGATTTCTCAGACAATGTTCTTATATGAGGTACATAGTCTTACGGTTAGGGCTTCCAAAGCAATTTAATGGCTCTCATGGGTCGAAACGATCGAGGCAAAGACGTTGATGATATTGCAGCACTTGAGGCCCACTACAGTGCTCGATTAACTTTCAGTCCCCTATCTGGACGAGTCGGATCTCTCCTTCTCAGCGGAGCTCATTCTTACATTCATAAGGGCTTCGATTGAGACAGAAAAGCCGCGCCCTAAACCACTGTGAAGGTCAAATCGGAATTGGGTTAAGGAGGGTCTCCGGACATCTGTCAACCGTGAGGCTAGGCAATTCAGCGTTTTGTTGTGCTGTCTGGGAGCTCTCACACAAGCGCACTATTACAGAATCTCCGCTTTCTTTACCTCCTTCAAAAGGCTTAGTCCCACTACCACAAAGAACGTCTGCTTTTCCTTCTACACTCTCACCCCCTGGTTGACAGAAGCCTTGTAACCATTTGTGGATTAGAAGAATAGGTACAATGAAGACGAGAGGACAGCGAGAAATCAAGCTAATCAAACGAACATTAAGAATGCTTCCAAATGAGCTGCAACTATGATAGTCACCCACTGTCTGGGAAGACTATCTGGTTGTAGACTCAATATGGGAATGGCGACAAATATCCGCCCCGCCACTAGTGAACACTACAGTTGCCTACAGGAAGCCACAGGTACAATACCCGGTAACCATCAGAGTGAAAAACAGCTGATATCCAGAATTCATAACTTTGCCTCATTTCCTAGTGCACACTTCTCATGATGGAAGCGATTAAGTGCACTTAGGAGGAAACTATCAGGTCACGTAAACATTATCCAGCCCGAATTATTACCTCAAAATCTTAAAGATAAAACAGTTAATAGATAAGGATGGTCTGTACTACTATTGACTGCTAGTTTACCGGAGAACGATAAATGATTGCAGAAGAAATAAGTTCTAAAGAGAAGTAGAAACTCGAAATAATTCCATAAAAAACTGACCCGATCTTATCTATGAAATTTAAAGATATATAGGCTTACAACCGCGACATGCTCCGTTACCGCCGCAAACAAGAGCTCTACCGAAAGTTCTGGTAAACAACTTCACAGACTTGCTTTGGGTAGCTCAACGACAAATCCCCTTCAACCGTTCCTATCTACCAATTCTTTACACGATCGCCGCCTTTCTTGCGAACCAGTTCCTCATTGACAGCATAAAGGAACGGAAACAATCATAGACTCTAAACTCTCTGAATGTTCCATAATCCCCCAGCCCTGGTATGCCGTTGCTGCAGCAGTTAATACCAAACGATCTTCGTGCGATAAGAACCGGGAAGTGTTTTCATTCCTATTTCAGAGCTTTAAAGTAATGACTGCATTGAAGGCACGCGTCGCGGTCAGATCCTCAAAGCAATTCTCTCCATGGACGAGACTGCCGAATCCCTAAGCACAGAAGTCTGTGCACTGTCGTGACCTGAATGCGCAACAAGTGCGCAAAGCCTTTGCATGACCACTGCGAGTAGTGCCATTTTTACGCGTTTGCAGTATGCGAATCTTCCGATGTGCTCTCTCGCGTATTCCCTCTTCTCACCACGCTGTCCCCTTCCTTGACCATGGTCAGCCTAACAAGAGATAGAGGCTTTATTTCATGTTCTCTATGGTTTTATCTCACTGATAGTCCTGTTCCCACCTTGTATTTTGAATTTAACACGTTGACGACAAGCTGACGCGCATGCGCGTCAAGAATTTCGCACCGCATCGGACATTCTGACGCGCAAGCGCGTCAAGTCTGTGCTACTCACTTTTATCGTGCTTGCGCTCCTTCTTCTCGGGTTTCTTGTATTCATTCTATAGATAATACATTTAGCATAACTATAAACCGCCTGGCAGCCAGAGTGGTCAAGTATCCTATGATTTAGCAAAAATTTTCCGAACGCACAAAACTTTCATTTCAATTCTTTCCTGGTATTCCTTTCACTGTCGTTAACATTTATATGAAAGATTGTAGAATTAGTTAATACAAAACTCTGTGAGTTTCAATATATTTGCATGTGATGGAAATACTTAGATACAAATGCTTTTAATTTCATTCGCAGCGAAAGCGTGTTTTTTACTTCTTCGTGGTCATTATGCACTCTTCTAAACAAAAACCTACTGCTACTTATATAGTTAACCTTTATACGTTCATCCTTGCCGAAATAGTCCTATGAAATTCAAGTTATTGTGCATTTTTAACAAAAAATAAGCGGAAGTAAGGTGAGGACGGCGCGGTCGCAAAATCGCTCCTGTCCCACGAGGTGCAAAATGCCAAAACATGCGATGTCGTCAACGTGTTAAATAAAGAAAGCAGTTGCAGGTGCCTTTAAATTGAATATCTACATCAGCAGAAGGCCAACTAGGAAAAATTTTCAGTTTTGAAACGAATGTAACAAAAATATGTAGCGATCTTTTTAAAATCGCACAAGAAAGGCCTGACAACGATAACTGTTCATTGATGTCAAGCATGAGAATGCTTAGAAACATGAATTACTAAGTATTCTTGAATACCACTAAAAAGAATAAAAAACTTCAAACTCACGGTCAAAGAAATCAAGGTCATCAAATACGTCATCGATTTGATCGTAGGCACTTAAGGAATGTCGTAACACAGGGCGAACTGTTGGAATCTTTGAAAGAGCTGCTGCCAAATCAGTGAACGACGTTGAACGCTCCATTAGGGGTGTACGCTGGAAAAACTTTCACATAGGCGAAGCTACAATTGAACTCCTCTGAACTCTTTTTAAACAACCGGATAGTAACTCGCACTTAACTAACAAAGCAATCATCGTAAGCCACGTCATCTTATTCCCAGATGGTTTGTTGGAACGATTGAATAAACCTACGCCCGTCTACAATTGAGATCCCAAAACTTTGGGTTCTACCCATTTCCGAAATTTCATGGAAGGAAAAAGTGGCATGTTCTCGCTTATTGTTTTCAGATTTCCGTTGAAAATTCTCACCTCCAGCGAAAAACAATGAATAAAATGCGAGTCAAACCAGCATTACTGCCCGAATATGCCGCCTAACTAAGACAAGTAAGGACACTAGATGTCTTACTGCTCGTAAAAACTTGATTCACGGACCTTTGTCTTACTGAGTTGTCGATGTAATCTGTTTTGAGTATTGCCACCAATTAGTAACGCGTTGAATTCATCAGTTTCCATCAACGCATCGATCTTCCCTCTGCCGTATTCATAGCCAACACCCTGCAAACAGCACCGTATGAGATCGCATAGTTCTACTGCTACACGTAGGCAAAAAGCGTAAGGTACAATAAGAACCCGAACATACACACGTCTTGGAAACGCCCATGAAATAGTCTTTTGGCCAGATGCACCATGATAGCTGGGGGTTAATGGTAGAAGAAAAGACTATGAGAAGGGGTTGCGTGGTACAGTCCCGACAAAAGATCTTAAGAACACATCGAACGAGATAAACATCGACTTCCATAAACGTCACTCTAAACTGGGAACAAGTGTACATGGGCATGAGCGTAAATTTCTGTTCCCAAAATTGAATCCGGGCCTATTACATCTTTCACTTAGCCAGTCTTCAAAAAATGAGCTGGATTTTTCTTTGTATGGAGGTGGAACTTAGGCTAAGAGTTTGTCCATGTGTAGCCTGACCCACAGACAATACGAATCTACATAGCATTTATGCGCGAAATCGCCTGGCGCCCCACCATAGGCACAATCTGGCGCCGGACCAATCTTGGCGCAAGACTACGAGCGGTTCCTCGACGAGCCGAGTGTGATAGTGTTGTTCCCACTATATTCAAAGTATCTTTATTTCGGCACATTTGATTGGCCTGAGTGGACTGCACCGACGCTCGGGGGAGGACGCCAGAAGTTTCCGCGCCCGACAGATGCAACATTCGTGTTCTACAGGTCAAGCTACCCCCATGATGACTTTTAAGCCAGGTCCGAATAAGCACAAACTCATGTAGGCTGAAAAACATAAATGACAACGGATAGCAAGAGAAGGTCGGTTCACGGAGTAACGGTCAATGTCGGATTCGTCAATGACGACATATTAGTAAGTCATCGAGAAAGTGAAGGCGTGAGAAGGGGAAGCCAAATGCAAGAGGAGCAAAAATGATGAATCTCGAGACATTTTTTGCGTATAACGCCAGAATTGCATCTCAAACAAAGTTAAAAACAAAAGTAGTTATCAAGCCGGTAAAGTCAATGCAGATCAACACACTAACTTACCAGAATTTCATCAAATTTGTTGAACTCCAGCGTTTTGAACGGCTCGATAGCTGGTCGGAAGTAACTACAGTAAGGCGCCTTCTTCACAGTTTCCAACTGGCGAACACATGACACATAGGCTAATCGGGTCTGAAAAAGATCATTACTCCTCTATTGATGTCTTTGAAACAAACGGCCTATAGAAAACCTACCTGAATTTCCTCCATGTTTAGAATTCGTATAGGATCTGACCATGGATTTAACCGTTTCATCAGCACCCATAAGCCGTTCAATGAATCACCATAGTTGTAAAGATTCGTCTCTTCTGATGCACCAACATCCACAGCGATAACACGTTTTGCTCCCATGGATCTGGTAAATCACAAAATCAGTACAAAGAGCGTTAGGTCTTGGTCAATCCCTTTTGGAATGAGCCCTGAATTCCATTCCATTCACATTTATTGGGGCCACTTATAGGGATCAGTCGATTTACAGGTCAGTGTTTTTACAATCAGAAACAAGTGTGGTACCAGCTGATCGAGCCGAAAGGATGGAAGGCTGCGGTGGCTTAGAAAGCGCACTACACTGACCCCTGGACATAACCTCACCCGTAGCTCGGCCACCATAACAAAAAACCGAATAAAATAGTACCTCATCACATCCGCTGGAAGATTATTGACATATCCACCATCCAGAAGCAGATGGCCATCTTGAGGGTCACACATCGGCGGCAGATACCCGGCCAGTGACATCGACGCTCTACAGTACGCCCACAATGGACCGCTACGATGCACACGCAATTCAGAGGTCCTGTAAATATGAGCACAATGGAAAACTGGAAATGTAAAGCTCGAAAAATTTTGTCTAGTTGAGGGCAGCTGACTGCAGCTGATCAAAGCGGACAAAATTTATAAGCATATTGAAATTTTTTTATCCATTTCTGAAGGTAAAAAAAACTAACGTGATGTCAGTGCTTATGCAAAAGTATGGAATCCATAAATTCTCGATTTCTTTGTCCTCAAAGAGATCTTGTAGTGATTTGTTTAGTTGAGCACCCGTAAACATTGCAGAGTGAGCGTACGTGAGATCGAGGACCTTGCGCCATAAGCTTGTCATACCCTATAAATGATTAATCTACAACTCATATAATCTTCAAGAGTAATCCGTAGAGGTAATGCTTAGGCAAAAAATTAGCACAATTTCTTTTTTTTCAGAATTCAAACTCTACGAACAACACATTCAATTCAGCTAGCAAAGATCACATGAGTTGAAAAAAAAACATTAAAAAATTCTAAAGCTTACACTGAACCACTTCCTAGTACGTTCTTCAACTCGTTCGTCTGGAGTAGCAGCATAAACTCCTCCAACTAGTGCTCCTATGGATGTACCACCGACAATATCTACAGGAATTCCTCGTTCTCGCAGAGCTCGCAGAATTCCGACGTGGGCAGCCCCTCTGAAAAAAAGCACTTTTTTGCAAGTTAGAACATCTTACGTCCGCACCAAATGGCCGGCCAATAAAACCTCCAGTTTGGGGCGAAGAAGAACTATTTGTTCCCCTTCCTATGCTCGGATACGAAATCAGTAATGGGTACCTTGCGCCGCCTCCACCGAGTGCGAGGCCTATCGCATTTCCAGTGAGGATACGAGCGATGCGAGCAAAATCCGATCGGAAATCAACAGTCCAGAACACATTCTTCTCATAGAACTCGACAATATCTTGTTCGTTACTCTTGAATTGAAAAATTATAAATAATATAAATGAATCCTTAGAAGAAAAAAGAATTATGCAAAGTGATCTCACTGGATGCAGCATCTCCCTGGAAGACTTTCGCGTCTTCTTCGACGTCCATTGGAACATTCGCTTTGGAGCTCGGATGTGGTGGTGACCTGAATGGGCAACACAGATACCAGTCTCAAAATTACATACAAGGGGATAAAACAATCGGCACGACGAAGTCTTTTGTAATAGACCATCGATTGCTACAAAGCCTTCAAAACTAATTATTTTATGCAGCGACATGCTTGACCGAGCAATAGTGAAATAGACATATTTTCATTCTTCCAGAATGGCCTAGCATTAACACCCAGCTGAATCTCGTAGCTAACACCCAGCTCAACCTCGTAGGAAGGTGGACGACCTGGTTTGCCATTTTGAGATTTACCAAATGGTCGTGCAAGATCAGGTCACAGTCTCACAAAAGAGAGACCGCGAGCTATCTTGGATGGTCAAGAAATTTATCCAGAGACATTACTTGAGCCGTGCTTCCTGCCAGTGCCGCCCACATTTATTTCAAAGTAAATCACAACAAAATAAATATTGGAAGCATCCAAATTTTATTTGAAAATTGCACATAAAGGAACCAAATGGTCGCCACAATAAAATAGAATAACTGCAATACAAATTTAATAGAACAAAATGTACCTGAGTAGTACATGTCCTTCAACCACACATGAGTGCCAGATGGGGTGGAGGTGTTCTCGGGCCAAAGGAGAACTAGCTCTTTGTTCGTGCGTACACCGTCTTGATTTGTACTCAACAGCTCGCGCATCTGATGCGAATTTTCATGAGGAAAACAAGAAACCCTCAAAAACCTCTCAAAATACGATAAATAAACAAATGAAATGCTCACCAAGTGTTTGATTTTGAGCCTTTTTGTTCCCCATTGCTACCACAAGGATGGCGTCAGCTTGACGTAAACACCTAAATAGTTCAACACTTTGAGATAAGTCAAATATTATGGTTTCGAGTATAAATTTTTTGATGACAACCATAATCCTAGGACCTCCTTCTAATTAAGAAAGCACTAATCATCCTCAATATACGTGGTAAACGTAAAAGTATAATAAGTGTTGATTATAGAAGCAACATTTGATCGCCCTCCTAAACCTCAAAAGGCTTTCATAAATCAAATTTCTACCCTCCTGGAAACTTTCCCATCGTAGCTGTACTCTGCACCTTCGACAGCCCAGCTGTCTACGTTAGGGCTCCCAAATTACTGTTCGTGGCCTTGCCCAATCTATAATAGTACACCAACATGCTCTTGTTTGGGTTCATATGAGCGCGAAGCATAACTGGCCTCAGAGCAATGCTTTACACATTGAGTTCAAGTGGTAGAGCACGTTTAATGGAACTCTATACAAGCGGAGTCCTTGCGATCACAGTGCCTATAAACAATTGTCCCTAAATGAGTGAGAAGAAGGAAGAAGAGAGGAAGCAAAGAAGGGCGAAGAGCAGAAGAACAAATTCCGTATTCCTATGTACACCTCAACTTCTATGTCGTCGTGCACGAATCCCGCTCCTATACCTAGTAAATACGCCTCACTCATGTATCCTAACTCGAGATTTTACGGCTCACATTCAAAGGATGAGTCTATGCAATGTTCTAGCGCGTGACTGCCGTCTTCTATGACTGTCCGGGACCTTCTGACACATTCAGTTATTTAGTTTAATTGATAATTGGCAGCACTCCAAGCAGCGCTAAGACGACATGATTACAATTAAAGGATCAGAAAAAATGACCATACCTTCGTGTCCAGTTGGTCGGTGTGTAGTCGCATTCATAGATTACAAGGGGATAGGTGTCCTCTTGCACATTCAACCAGTGCATCAATCGGAAATCCGCTTGCCTGCAAAAACAACTCGATAATGATGAAACTTTTCTTGCGATTACAACTAAACGACACAATACATTAACATCAACGTTTAACGTTGACATCGAGTAACACTGAAATCGAAAAAAGCCACAACAATGATACTTACAGTGTGAAGTCGGGGCTATGCAGGAATCTGCAGAAGGAAAATTCAAAAAATAGCTTCATTCAATTTGACTGGGAATAAAAACTGAATTTTCCTTAAGGGAAGGGACCACACACTACACGGGACCAAGCGCGGAACGTAGTTACTTTATCCCGTTAAACAACCGTTCCACTCTTCGCTTCATCTTCCCTTGAGAAGATCTCCACCCCTGGAATCATGCTTGACACCAGCCGTCAGTTGGGATAACCATGAACGACTTCGACCCGTATGAGCAACGGTACATTACCCTCAATGATGCCTCCTTCAAAAGTGACCTACGATCCCACTTTGACATCTTTCAAACCCCCGTACTTCAAATTTTCGCATCTCAGATTCAAGACATAGGAACAAGAGCTTCTAGGAACCACTACCAATAAACTAATGCAAGAGAACGTTTAAGTTCAACTTTGTGCTAATCTTGTCACCAACAAAAAGTACTTACTTCTCGAGAACGGCATTGTCCAGATGTGATGCGACTTTCTGACTGCTTAGTCTCAGTACTTTCAGATTAGCAGACAGTGCATGGTAGAGCTCGCATGTAAATGGAACCAGAGGCACTTCTGTTGACGCAGGAACGACGGCGATTGTATGCAGATTCTGCAAGAACATCTTGAATGTGTAGAAAAGCAAGCTAATCGAAATGGACAGAATTATCGTCAAGCCATGTAAACAACACCTTGATGTGACTCATCGGATCACCAGCTCCTTCAAGCGAAAGCGTAGGCAAATACGGCATACGTCGATGCATGCTGCTGTAGTATTGTCCCAGAAGTTGCACCAAACGAAAACCAACCTAGAAATAATTCGGACTTAAAGGCAGTGGCCATAATAGCTGGAAGGCGGAGCGTTTTCGATAATCATTGGGCATTATTGGTGAATGAGCGTTAGAAGGTGATCCAATCGCGCAGTGCCTTTGCTCCACCAAGAGGGTCTAATGGCACCATAAAAACTGCCCCGCCCTCAGCCATTGCGT